TAATGACGTCACAACCAATGTCTGCTCTCACCGCCATACGAAATTCCAGGCATTATCGTTTCTTCCCAATATTGAGATCTCAGAGTACAGCTGTGTGTTTTCTTGTTTATTCTTTCTAAAACAATCCTCACTTCAATGCAAGATTCATGCCAAACATGGCTCGCGAGTATGTCTCAACTCAGCTCCTTTTTCCATATTCTGTTCTTCAATTAATGTTATAGCATACAATTTCTTGCTCAGATATGACAGAATCTGACATTAAGAGAATTGGTGTTGCGCGTGGGTATCTAGTCTTCAACCAGGACAGGATCGCCAAAATGGCCAAACACACCATCACCCATAGTCGTCGAACGAAAGCTGTGGTCAAAAACCTCTACCAGCGACTTGACAATATACTATGCGCCGTAGATACAGGGGTGCGTCTTTTACACGCTCAAAATCCACTACCTCCACTCATAGCGTAAATAGAGTTCAATGGGATTCAAGATGCTTGCCAACGAGGTCCTGATTACCCTAACCACTATCCCTTCTACACAACACGTTGTTATATTACCGGAAAGGGAGATTGAACCAGAAGATGTTTTTGTTGCGCATCCTGTTACGGGCGCACATCTGTCATTTGGTGGCACTATTGATTATGTCGTCCTTGAATCTGGACCCAAAGGTATTGGTCTTCTATCACACCATCAAGTAATTTGGTCTAACGCAGGACTTACTATCAGGCTGGGCGTTAGGCTCAAGGTTTCCCATGAAAATGTACATAGATAGGTCTGTCTGGCGTCGAACCATGCTTGTGAATCTCGACGACCCACTGGCCCCGAACTACGGGATGTGTGGCAGGGAAATCCCTCTAGCTGTGAGCAAGGCCATCGCGTTCTCGGTGTCTCTTGAGTAAGCATCTTCGCACCTTTTGGCGCCCACAGTCATCCACAGACACCAAAATCCTCATTTTTCAGCGTCCCCGTGGTGCGATTCTGTACTACAGATGGCTCTTCATGGAGATTCTATATTTTAATCACGGAACATGGCAAGTTGACGTACTACGAATCTCCGCTTCGCGCACTGGGTATGTTCAATTCTAGTGAAGTTGAACTGCAGAAACTCACCGAAACAGTGCTAATTCTCACTGAATGGGTAAGTGCCACCGCGCCTTTGCTCGATTTGCAGATCTAAGATATCCGTCATTAGCTCACGCCCACCGTACCAGACCTATTTACGCTCGAGAAGGGCCTGTCTTAATTATAGAAACAAGTGGACGGTACAGAAGCGAAACGATATGCAAAGAAGAAATTAGAGGCGCTTCAGATTCCAAGGGGAGGAAATTAAGCTAGACACGGCTTATGATGTAATGACGTACTGATAGATGTTTCCTCTCACCGCCATACGAAATTCCAGACATTATAGCTTCCTCTCAATATTGACATCTCAGAGGACAGGTGTACGTTTTCTTGTTATTCTTCTTAAAACAAACTTCACTCAGGTTCAGTGCAAGATTGATGCCAAACATGGTCCACGAGTATGTCTCAACTCAGCTCTCAGCTCCTTTTCCATACTTATTCTTTTCTTCAATCATCAATATAGCCTGCAATTTCTTGCTCAGATATGACAGAATCTCACCTTGAGACAATTGGTGTTGCGAATGGGAGACTAGTCTTCAACCAGGACAGAATCGCCAAAATTGCCAAACACGCCATGACCCACACTCGTCAAACGAAAGCTGCAATTGAAGATCTCCTCAAGAGACTCGGAAATATATTCGACGCCGTGGATACGGGGGTGCGTCTTTTACATGCTCAAAATCCGCTACCTCCATTCATGATAGAACAGAGTGAAACGGGATTCAAGATGGTTGTCAACGAGATGCTGATCACTCTAACCACTCTCCCCTCTTTACAGGAAGTTGCTATATTACCGGATAGGGAGATTGAACCAGAAGATGTTCTTGTTGTGCATCCTGTTACAGGCGCACATCTGTCATTTGGTGGCACTATTGATTATGTTATTCTTGAATCTGAACCTGAACACAAAGGTATCGTTCTTCTCATAGACCACCAAGTAATTCAGTCTGACGCAGTATCTATCAGGCTGGGAGTTAGGCACAATGAGTCCAATGAAAATGTACATAGATCGGTCTATCTGGCGCCGGGCCATGCTTGTGAATCTCGACTACCCAATGGCTCCGAACTACGGGATGTGTGGTAGAGAAATCCCTTTAGCTGTGAGCAAAGCCATTGCGTTCTCGGTATCTCTTGAGTAAGTATCTTCGCACTTTGTCAATGTCATCCACAGACACCAAAATCCCAAATTTTCAGCGTCCCTGTAGTACGATTCTGTACCACAACTGGCACTTCATGGAGATTCTTTATTTTAATCATGGAACATGGCAAGTTGACATACTACGATTCTTGGTTTCGCCTACTGTGTGCAGGATCCGATTCTCGTGAGAGGGAACTGCAGAAACTCAGCGAATTAATGCTGATTCTTACTGAATGGGTAAGTACAACCACGCCTTTGCTCGATTTGCAGATCTAAGATATCCGTCATTAGCTCACGCCCGCTGTACCAGACCTATTTACGCTCAAGAAGCGCCTGTCTTAGCTATATAATGGTGCTGGTGTTTAGTTCTTTACTGTATTACAATAATCACGCATAATGTACGACTTGACCTTTCGATTCCAAATGACTTCGGAATGTAGCCAGGACAAGCCAGAGAAAGCATATCCAGAACGTCCACCCGATTATCCAAGCTGCACACTCTTGACAACTTTTGATATGCCGGATCTCTCTCCGTCATATCTTCCAGTCTCTGCCAGTCCACCCTTGTAGACCGCCTTCTGCGAAGATAGTTTCTTCTTCGCCTTTTCGAATTTGAGTCGCTTCTTGACACGCGGGTTCCGAACGCTTTTCGCGCGATGTGGAGTGAGTCCTTTATTGGCTAAGATCGCGCGTGTGAGCGACCGTGGACCTGTAGCATCGTCCTCGCTGAAATCAGGACTGTGGAGTAGAAATTAGAAAATCCCAAGAGGCAGCAAAGACGAAAAACGCACCGCGCGGCTTCAACCATGGCGTCGTATTCAGCTTGCTTCTGTTCTTTTTTATTTTTCGCGGTCTTTTTAACGAGGTCATAGTAGCCATCTGGACCTTTTGAGTGGTCTCCATCATCGGCTTGTCCTCGTCCTATGTCTTCCAAGTCCTCACCACCTTGGCCTCTGCTTCTAGTATTCTCTCGAATAAGACGAGCATCCTTCTCTTTTCTCCGTTCGCGATAGGGAAGGTCATCATCACCTCCCAAAGCTTGACTCCTTGCGCCTTTACGTCTTGCACTGGTGCTTTCGATTCTTGATGTATGAAACTGTAGCGTTTTCCTACGTGCAGACTTGTCGGCGGCATCTGCATGTTGAAGGGAGGTAGCCTCGCCAAAAGCATCTGTTAGAACAGAATCGAGAATGTTGCGAGATGAAGCTTTTGAAGACACAAAGTCGGGTTCCACAAGGTCGAAGGCGGGGGGAGGTTTAACGCCTTTGGCAGTCGCCGTCTTGGCCGTCTTGCGTTTTTTCTTAGGCGGTTCAGTCGAGTCAGACTCAAGGAAGGCTTGTTGGTCCTCGAGTAATAGTTCAAGTTCGTGGTCATCCAAGTCATTCTCCGCCCAAAGAGGTTCTCCGTCTGCCATCACATCGTCGATTGACATACTCACATCGTCGTCGTCGTCGTCGTCATCGTCATCAAGTTCAGAATCAGATGCAAGCAGTCCAATGTCGTCGAAAGTGGTTAGGGATTGTTTCAAAGTGAGGAGGCGACGAAGAATTGTGTGTTCTTTGAGCAGTTCGGGTCGTTGGACATACTTTTCCGAACTTGCAAGGTGAAAATAGAACGCGAGCGTTGTTGCGTAAGTTAACAATGCCTCTGCAACGGCTTAAACTTTGCACTACGTATATTTTGAAAGTGAACTTACGATAGTATATGTGCAACATGCCGAGGCTCATCCTGTCTACAACCTCAGTTTCCGAACTATACAACGTAGTCAGATAAAGGCAGGTAACGATGAAGGATGCGTACTGACTTTTGTTGTATTCTTTCTTTAGTCTTTGCCAGATTTTCAATAGCATCTTGCCAGTCGCGTGCTAAGGCTAAGGTTTCTGGGATGGTTTTTTCTAAATGGCGCAGTAACGATTTTTGGTCTTGGGGAAGCTTCTGCACTACGGCGAAAGTAGGTTCTGCAAATTCACTTTGAAGAAATGATGAGATATACGGCATGGAGGAAATAAGAAGGGGTTCGCACTCGATATCATGGTCGACTTCAATGTCAATGGCATCTTCCAACCCAAAGTCCGCGTCTACCATCTCTTCACGCATTTTGCTCTGCAGTCGGTTAGCCTCCTGCTCCTCCAACTCATGACCTTCCTCATCGTCGGATTCGAGTTGCCCAGCGTTTGAGGAGTACCAAACAGCTTTGCTCTTGCCCCAACTCTCTTCCTCCTCAGATTCTGAATCATCCTCGTCGGATGACTGGCCCTTTTGCGCCTTCTTCTTCTTTTTTCCTTTTTTCGGGTATTCGCTAAACTCCTCTTCATAGTCTTCGTTTTCGTCCATATCAACGTCTTCATCCACTTCTTCTTCGTCGTCATCATTCATTCCTTTCAACGCAAAGACCTCATCGTCATCGCCGTCGTCGTCCTGCTCCCAGTCATTTCCTTCCAAAAGGACCTTGTCTCTTGAGGCATGGACTGTGCAAGTCAAGACAGGAAGATACAGATATTTTCAAGGACTTACACAGATCTTCTTTGTCCTGTGGAATATCGGAACGCTTATTCCATTTCGTGATTTTGGCCTCATTACGGTTCACAGGCCGAGCCTTTCCGCCTCCACGAGTTTTTGAGGACCGCCTACGAGGCATGAGTGTTGTGTAGAGATCAACGAAGTTTGTTGTTTGGAAATCAAAATTGAATAATTACTCTGGACGTTATCGAGTCGGGAGTTCGCACTAATTTACAGACCGCAACGGCCGCCTGGCGAAATGGCATCGCGTCTGACTACGATTCAGTCGTTATCAGGAGATTGCAGGTTCGACCCCTGCGGTGGTCATTTTTGTCTCGCTTCCTCAACAGAACGAGTGTCAATTGCTAGCTCGGAGTAATGTACTCAAGTCCTGAGGCCTGGAGTCCGATGGGTTATGTCAGGTTTACCCTCGGTGACAACGACTGGACCTATGCTGGAAATGTTGCTCATGCGCACTTGACTCATCACTCCACCTGCAGTTTCTTTGGGCTCGCGCGAAAAGCCTGTCTATGCAGTAGAAGAAATTGAGCCTCACACTTCAGCAGAAGAAAAATCCTCAACTATCCTCTTCCCAAAACCACCTTCACCACTGGCAAACATCGTGTCCCTACCTCCGCCTCCCGACGGCGAAAAGATTTTGGCCGCATTTAACGATCCCAGAGTATGCGGCATGGTTCATGCGCAAGGAACCGACATTCACTAGGCTCAGGGTAACTTATAGCTGTGTTAATCGTTGGTATAACATTGAGAAGGCACGTCGGGTGCTTGGATATGAGCCTATAGTTGATGTTTAAACTCGGGTTGTCGTATGTCTAGTCACTTGTCGTGTTCTTCATGCTCGCGCTGACAATCTGGTTTCTAGTGGTGTGAAGGAGTACTGCCCGCTTCATCGCCTCTAAAATGTACTTCACCTGCCGAGGTCTGCCTTTTACTCAAGTCTTGCTCAAGTCCTCCGACTTCATCACACATGATCTCGCCGTGGAAAATGTTTTCGATGGTTGTGAAGACCCTCCTCCTTCCTGTGAACTTGAAGTACTCAATTGAGCGGATCGTAGCCGAGAATTAAGGTGTTTTGTGCGAGACAACAATCTCATGGGTGCGCCTGCGACAATCCTCTCTACTTTACTTCAACTCACCTCTTGTTATCAGCTATATCCCAGCGCGATCATGATTACTACGATTTGTTAAATGACCCTCTTACGAAAAGTTTGATCACCCAATCAGTGCTGGGACAAGAACATCCGGACGTCGAAATATTGGGTCTGCTCCCAGTTGTGCGTTCTTCGTCTTCAACCCGATATTAATCATTAACTCACACTGAGTCCCGATATCTTTGATTTTTTTCCTTACGCGAGATATGTCGCGTGGACATATAGTCGATTTCAATCCCTATGCGCCTCGCACCGACCCTCTGT